ATTGATTGTGTGGAAGATCATAAGAGCATAGTCAGCTGTCATTGGGAGAGGAGTAAAAAGAATGAAGTGGAGAAAGGAGCTTCAGTGGAATGATGTGTTCAGAAGCCAAATTTAGAGGATTTAAAGGAATTATTGGGAAAAACTTATATTTTTTTTAAACTTACATTTTTTGAACTTCTTATACTCCCTTGTTCCTAGTAGGTGCTTAATATTATTTAATTGGTAGGGAAGTGCATGAAGGGAAATTGAATAATTGCCATGAGATTTGGTAGTAAAAGAAAGGAAGGAAAAAAAAAAGAAAGGAAGAACATAACAGCAGCTGGAGAATGGCTGGATAGGGGAATTCTGAGTTTGTTAAATGAATAGGAAAAATGTTTCTCGGGAATTGGTTTTATCTATACAGGTAGAGATTATAGGATGAACATTCTAGAAAGGACTACCATCTTATGCTGGGAAAGATGGAAGGCTGATGAAAAGGTAATATCTTGATGGTCTTAATCTTCAGAAAATAGGATGTGAAGTGAAGACCAGGTTTCAAAGAGGTGATGACCTGGAATAATTTGGTAGGGGAAAGAGAAAGAAGAATATAAGCAGCAAGTGAGAGTTTAGATGCAGCTGAAAAATGAATTTGTAGTGAAGTTGGGGTGGGTAAAACAGATGAAGGGATCAAGAGGTACAGACGTCTAATTCTAAAGTAAATAAGTTAGGGTGATTAAAAAGTAGAGCATAGGGAATGTAGTCAGTCATACTGAAATAATTTTATATGGCGACAGATAACCACACTTATTGTGGTTTATATAAATGTACTTCATATAATTGTTGAATCACTATGTTGTACCCTGGAAATTAATGTGATATCGTATGTCAACTATACTTCAATACAATTTTTCTTTGAAATACAAAGGACTTGGATACTTCTACAAAGAATATACAAATGCTCAATAAGCACATGAAAGTATGCTCGACATTACTAGACATTAAGGAAGTGCAAATCAAAATCACATGAGATGCCCTTTCACATGCATTAGGATGGTTGTATCAAACAAAACAAAGCAAAACAACCCCAGAAAATAACAGATATTGTGGAAGATGTGGAGAAATTGGAACCTTATGCATTGCTGGTGGGAATGCAGAATGGTGCAGCTACCGTGGAAAACAATTGGGCAGTTTCTCAAAAGTTAAACACAGAATTATCATATTCTACTCCTAAGTATATACCCAAAAGAATTGAAAGCAGAGACTCAGATACTTGTATGCCATGGTTCATAGCAGTATTCACAATAGCCAAAAAATGAAAACAACCCAAATGTTCATTAGCAGATGGATGGATAAACATGGTAGATACATACACTGGAATATTACTCAGTTTCAAAAAGGAATGACATTTTGGGGTCTGCTACAGCATGGATGAACTTTGAAAACATTATGCTAAGTGAAATAAGCCAGGCACAAAAGGACATACATTGTATGATTCTACTTACATAATGTATGTAGAAGACGCAAATTCACAAGCCACAGAAAGTAGGAGAGAGGTTACTAAGAATTGAGGGAAAGGAGTGTGAAGAATGGTTGTGTAATGAATACAGAATTTCTGATTGGTAGGATGAAAAGTTCTGGAAATGAATAGTGGTGATGGTTGTACACATTGAGAATATATTTAATGGCATTGAATTGTATGTGTTAAAATGGTAAAATTTATGTTATGTTTAAAAAAAGGAGAAATGGGGGCAGATGAAAATAAGTGGGGTCAATATACTGGAAATTCCCATGTAGTTGGAGAACCTAAGCATTGAGAGAAATTTTATGAACAAGTTAGAGACAAGGCTGTGATAAGAAGTTGAGGGTATCTAATTATTGATCCCAGAGGTGACATTCCAGGTAAAAATCTCAGTGTAATGTGTAACCCTTAGGGGGTTGGAGCTTGGAAGACAGCAAAATTCAAATTCTATTCTGTCATTTTTTAGTTATGCAATTTTATCATATTACTAAAGCTTTCTGAACTATTTTCTATGTTCTTGTTAAGTGGACAAATAAGCCATAATCATCAGAGTAATTGTGAGTATTAAATGAATGTATGTTTAAGAAAAAGAAGTACCAGCACTTAGGTAGGAAATTTAAAATGAAAAAAATAGAGGAAGAATACTTGAGGAAATATATTGTTTTCCCAGAATTGAAAGGAGATGAAAGATCACAGATTTTTTAAAAAGGCCCAGTAGAATACCAAATACAGTTAAGGAAGAAAACCACACCTAGACATATTACATTGAAATTTAAAACTATCAGAGATAGAAAAGTCTAAAAGCTTACCAAGAGAATTAATAACATTATTAAGGACCAGAATTCAAATTGTCATCATACTTTTCAACAGTAACATAAGCAGCAAGAAGATAGTGTAATACATTTTGAATACTGAAGGGAGTACTGAAAGAAAAGAACTTTGAATCTTGCATTTTATAAGGAGAAAATTGTCATTCAAGTGTTGTAGCATGGTTAAAATATTCCCAAACATAGAGGACCTTTAAAGATTAGCTATACAAAGTCCCACATGGGGATCATTTCTGTAGGAAGAACTCAGATGGGTGGAGAAACAAATCTAGCAGATGCTGCTAGATGTATGTGATGTATACGTGTAAGAGTGTAAAGAATGATCAGAATACCAAAATAAAGATTGTTGTCTTAAAAAAAAAAAGCCACATCCAGAGAAAAGAATTAAGAGAGAATATGTTCATAAAATGAGGATTGAATGGAGGGGAAATCATGAGAATGCAGGCGTGGTAAAGTTCTTCTCTTGGTAAAGGGATATATGGATAGCATTTTTATATATCAAAAAGAAAGGTTGTAAAAAGTACAGGAGGGGTGCTTGGGTGACTCAGTCAATTAAGTCTCAGCCTTCGACTCTGGTCATGATCCCAGGGTCCTGGGATCTAGGGGCTCTCCACCCCCCGCCCCTGGCATTGGGCTCCCTATTTGGTGGGGAGCCTGCTTTTCCTTGTGCCTTTGCCTGCAGCTCCCCTTGCTTGTGTTTTCTTTCTCTCTCTGTCAAGTAAGATCTTAAAAAGTGCAGGAAAAGCAAAAATACAAGTTGAAATAAAGATATCCATTAAAAGGCAGAGAGTGATGATTCAGTAAAAAAATAAGTGTAAATATATATATTTTACAAGAACTGCCCTGAATCACAATTTAAAAGAGGAGGGGCATGGATAGGGTGTGTATGAAAATTGTTGAAAATTGAGATCCTAGCAATGCTTTTGCTTATGTGGGTTGTATCTGTTGATAGTTACCTTATTAGAAATCAAAGAAAAATTAAAAATATATTTATCAGTTAATTTTAAAACAGCAATAATCTACCCCTTTTAAGTTATAAAGAAGTAACATACATGTATTTTTTTCAAAAAGATCCATTTTTTTGAGAGAGAGCGCAAACAAGCATGAGGGGTATGAAGGGGCAGAGGGAAGGGGAGAAGCAGACTCCCTGCTGAGCGGGAAGCCTAATGTGGGGCTCAGTCTCAGGACCCTGAGATCATGACCTGAGCCAAAGTCAGATGCTTAACCCATGAGCCACCCAGGCGCCCCAGTGACATACAAGTATTTTTGTGAAAAACATTTGTTTTAGGGACGCCTGGATGGCTCAGCAACTGAGCATCTGCCTTCAGCTCAGGGTGTGATCCCAAAGTCCCAGGATCAAGTCCCACATCGGGTTCCCTGCATGGAGCCTGCTTCTCCCTCTGCCTGTGTCTCTGCCTCTCTCTCTCTGTCTGTCATGAATAAATAAATAAAATCTTAAAAAAAAATCTGTTTTATTAAACAACAAAAGAATTCAGTGAGAAGAGTAGCATTGTCTTATGCACTTTTGCCTATCTCTTTAATGTCTGGTCTGAGAGAACACACTTAAGTTTACTCTATTGCAATATGTTGTTTAGATTGAGTTACATGAGGAGAATCCTAGGACCTTGTGGATCTTTTGAAAGTATCTGGGATAACCCTTGGGTCCTGAGACCACACGTTGAGAACTGCTTTTTCCAAACAATTTTCTTTATTACTGACCCTTCCCTCCACATTTGGTGTCTTCTGCATTGATGATATTTTTTCATTGTCCTGTATTTCCTCCCACCTTCCATTTTTGTTTTTACTATTGCCTACCTTATATTCTTTTCTAGTTTAAGACTGATCTCCAAGTTTTCACTGATGATTCTAGTCTATGACTATCTTATCTCTAAAATCTGTTGGCAAGTATATTGTTCCACATGATTCATGCTTCAGTTTCTAAATTTTCTTGTGTGTTTTCTCTTTCCACTTACATTATGAAGCTCTGTTGAAGTAGCGACTCTAAAAATTGACAAGATCCTTATTTAGTACAAGATAATATTTGTTGGTTAATAAGAAGTAATACTTTCCATGAAAGTGCATATAGATCACAAATTCTCTTTGGTTTTAAGTAGTCTATTGGAAAATTATAATATCTTATAATTACATTACCTGATATATGGTAGTATTTTTGATATTGCAAGTAATTTTTTAAGTAGATCTTATGAAGATTTATTTATTTAAGAGAGAGCCAGGAGAGGGGCAAAGGGAGAGAATCTCAAATAGACTCTCCACTGAATGTGGAGTCCAATGTGGGGCTCGATCTCAGAACTCTAAGATCATGACTTTAGCTGAAATCAGGAGTCAGGGACGCCTGAGTGGCTCAGCGGTTAAGTGTCTGCCTTCGACTCAGGGTGTGATCTTGGAGTTCTGGGATCGAGTCCCACGTTGGGCTCCCTGCATGGAGCCCCCTTCTCCCTCTGCCTGTGTCTCTGCCCCCCCCCATGAATAAATAAAGTCTTTAAAAAAAATAAAATGAAATCAAGAGTCAGACACTTAACTGACTGAATCACCTAGGTGTCCCTAGATCTTGTATAATTAAAACCATCTTCATTTTAAGCTTATTGATCTTGTGAGTCATTTGTGTTTTTTTTTTTTAAGTCATTTGTTGATTAATTTATTTTCTTACCTTTCAGAAAAAAGCCAAAGGACAAGAGCTCTTTGATCAGATAATGTACCACTTGGACCTTATTGAAAGTGACTATTTTGGATTGAGATTTATGGATTCTGCACAAGTAGCAGTGAGTAGCTGTTTTCTGGAGGTCCCAATGTGGGAGTACAGATGGAACATTTCAGATGATGTGCTAAGTGTACAAGGCTACATATTCTTACTACATTCTCTCTCTCTTTTTTTTTTTTTTTTTTTGTGATTTTCTTATTATGGTCTGAAGCTCTGACCACTTCAAAATAACCTAAAGTGCTTGTTAAAAAAACGTGAGTCCTGGCCCTAGCCCATCTTACTAGAGCATGATCTTTGCAGATGAGGCTAGGAAATCTGTCTTTTTAATAATCACTGGATTGGTTGTTGGGCATAATAAAGTTTGAGAATCACTGTGTAATGGAAAGGGTGCTAAAATGGGAGTTTTGTGGGTTCTTGGTAAGTGATAAAAGTTACTAACTTGCAGATTAAGGTGCATAGATATCTTCACCATCCCTTAATGATCTGTGATTCAATAAATGTTGATGATGTGTGTTTTTTTTTTTAAAGATTTTATTTATTTATCTGTGAGAGACACACACAGAAAGAGGCAAAGACACAGGCAGAGGGAGAAACAGGCTCCCCAAAGGGAGCCCGATGTGGGACTCGATCCCAGGACCCTGGGATTGTGACCTGAGCCAAAGGCAGACGCCCAACCACTGAGCCACCCAGGCGCCCCGATGATGTGTATTTTTGATGAGAGAACAGCATATGTCTTAGGGTAGGAAATTGGAGGCTTTACAAAGATCTGAGTACTATAAACTAGGATTTGACTGGAGGATTTTTGAGAGAAAATAGTAGATAATAATATTGGAAGGAGGATTAGTGGCCATATTGTCCAAATTGAATACCAAAAGTATTAAAAAATGGGCAATATATATTCTCTAATAATTAGAATTAGGGGTTTTCAAGCAGGGAAGTTATATTTTGCTTCAGAAAGTATTGTGTAGGGTTATTTGGAATGGGCAGAGATTGAAGTCAGAAGGAATCACTGCAAACACTGGGGGATAAAAGAAACATTAAGGCCGCAATAGGATATTCACAGTAGCAGGGAGGGAGAAGGAATAGAGATAAGGATATCGAGACATTAAGCTTTGTATTCTGGAAGTCTGTGATGGAGGAGTGTATGTGTTTAGTGACACATTAATTGTAATATTTAGGACTCACAGGAATAATATATAAGAATTCTCAGGTTCTTTTTGGAGTGAGATGTTAATTCATTCATTCAAAAATAAACATACAGATCAATGGAATAGGATAGAAAGTCCAGAGACAAAACCATAATTACATGTTTTTTGACAAAGGAGGCAAGAATATGCAATGGGAAAAAGTCTCTTCAACAAATGGTGTTGGGAAAACTGGACAGCTACATGCAAAAGAATGAAACTGGATCACTTTCTTTAACCATACACAAAAATAAACTCAAAATAGATTAAAGACCTAAATGTGAGACCTGAAACCATAAAAATCCTAGAAGAGAGTACAGGCAGTAGTTTTTCTGATAATAGCCATAGCAGCATTTTTCTAGATAGGTTTCCACAAGCAGAGGAAATAAAAGCAAATATAAACTGTAGGGACTACATGAAAATAAAAAGCTTCTACATTGCAAAGGAAATAATCAACAAAACTAAATTGCATCCTATTGAATGGGAGAATATATTTGCAAATGACTATCTGATAAAAAGCATAATTTCCAAAATATATAAAAAACTTATACTAATTCAACACCCCCAAAATTGAACAATCCCATTTAAAAATGGGCAGAAGATACAGATAGACATTTCTACAAAGAAGACCTCCAGATGACCAACAAACACATGAAAAGATGCTCATCATCACTTACCAGAGAAGTGCAAATCAAAACTATAATGAGATATCACCTCACACCTGTCAGAATGACTAAAATCAAAAACACAAGAAACAAGTGTTGATGAGGGTGTGGAGAAAAAGGAACACTCGTGCACTGCTGGTCGGGATGCACACTGGTGCAGCCATTGTGGAAAATAATTCAGAGATTCCTCAAAAAAATTAAAATAGAACTACCCTACAATCTAGTAAATGCACTACTGGGTATTTACCCATAGAATACAAAAACACTAATTCAGAGGATATATACACCTCTGTGTTTATTGCAGCATTATTTACAAGAGTCAAATTATGGAGACCAAGTGTTCATCAATAGATGAATGGCTAAAGAAGAGATGGTATATTTATCCAATGGAATATTATTCAACTGTAAAAAAGAATGATATTTTGCCATTTGCAACAGTATGTTTGGAGCTAGGAAGTATAATGTTAAATGAAGTAAGTCTGAGAAAGATGCTATACTATATGATCTCACTCATATGAGCAAAGGGGGAAAAAAAGAGACAAACTTATAGACTCTTAATTATAGAGAACAAACTGATGGTTACTACAGGGGTGGTGGGTAGACAAAATAGGTGATAGGTATTAATGAGTACATTTACCAAAACGTGCACTAAGTAATATATAGAATTGTTGAATCACTATATTTTATACTTGAAACTAATATAACACCATATGTTAACTATCCTGTAATTAAAATAAAAAACTTTAAAAAAATGATCAAGGAATTACATGTCACATTTCAATCTTGAATATTCAATCTTGTATATGTAAAATTAGTTTGTTAAAGCTTAATGTATTGGTTATTTAAGGTCAGTCCAAAATATGTGTGATTGGAAATATCCATTTACTTTTCTTCCTGTGAGTATGTAAAATCTCAGTTTGCTGTTGTTTACTTTTGCTTATACTAGCTCATTTTTTTTAATACCAGCTCATTTTATATTCATGTACGCATTTAATTTTGTAGTTGAAATAATGTCATATTGACAGAAAAGTTGCAAGAACAGTGTAAATAACTTTTTGTGGAACCATTAGAGAAAGAGTTACAGATGTCTTCTCACCCTGAATTATTTAGTGTATGTTTCCTATAAGCATATTCTGCATAATTGAGTATAGCCATCAGAACCAGAAAGCTGACACTGTAACATTACCACCTCTAGTCCTGAGACTCCCATGTTTTGCCAGTTGTCTGTATAGTGCCCTTTATAGCCAACTTAGTTCAGAATCACGTTTTACTTTCAATTATCAAATTTCTTTAGTTGCCTTCATCTTAGAATACTGTGGTTCCTCAGTTTTTCCTTGACTTTTATACTTTTGAAGATATAGGCCAGTTACTTTATAGGCTGTCCCTCAGTTTGGATTTGTCTGATGTTTTCTCAGGAAGTAGGTTATTAGATACTTTGGCAGGAAAATAAGCGAAGTGATGCTGTGTTCTTCTCATTCTACCTAGTGACATTTAATTTCATTTTGTCCAGTGATATTAATTTTGAATCTTTTTTTTTTTTGAGACAGGATGGAGAGGGGTAGAGTGGGGAGAGAGAGAATGAATGAATGAATTTTAAGGAGGCTCCACACCGAGTGTGGAGCGTTGCAGTGCGGAGTTTGATCTCACAACCCTGAAATCATATCCTGAACCAAAATCAAGAGTTGGATGCTTAACTGACTGAGCCACCCAAGTACCCTGATATTAACTTTGGTCCCTTGATTAAAGTGTTATCTACCAGGCCTTTCCATTATATTCTTTTTCTCTTTGTAATTAATAAGTTTTTTAAAATTTTATTTTATTTTTTTGTGGGCAGTTACTTTGAGACTTTATCACATACTATTTATTTATGATTTATTTATTTTATTTATTTATTATGATTCCTGTTTTATCCATTGTGTTATAATTTGTTACTGTCTTTTGATGCTCGAAGTTTCCCAAGTTTGGCCAATGAAAGCTGCTTCAAGATGGCTTCTGTGTTCTTAATACATGCACCCATCATTCTTTGGGTATCTTATTTTCTGGCCCAAGAGTGTGTTTCCATATTCATATTGTATTTCCTTGTTCCAGCCCTGGAATTAGCCAGTTTTCCAATTGGCTTTATGGTCAGATTTAGAGAATATATGTTCATGTTTATTTTTGTCTATCTATATAAATTGACACTATGACTTCACACCCGGAGCTCCCAATTCCAGTCCAATGCTACAGAGCTTACTATAGTTTTTTCCTCTCCCATATTTATAGTTTTCTTCTTCAGAATCCAAGCTTTGATTGTCATCAATACGTTTATCAGTGATCACTTACTTTGGATGGAATCAGTCTCTAACCTCTCCCTGAACAGATTCTGGCATTGCCCAGACTACCTTCTTACTTCTGGATTGAATTATTTGGGAAGAGGAAGCTTCTTATGAGCCAATTATCTTATAAATACAGAATAGTATGTAAAGTACTTCTTTGGAGATAGTGTTGAAGAGTTACCTCCCTAGAGGCATGGTTTAGAGTGGGAGGATTAGAAGAGAGAAGGCATGCTTGAGGAAAACAGAGTTGGTTTTAATTAAGGTGATCAGTCTTTTGCCTAAAGTAGGCCACTTTTAAAAAAATTGAGATATAATTTATAAATCATAAAATTTACCAGTAGTTTTTTATATATTCAGAGTTATGCAGCTATCACCACTATCTAATTCCAGAACATTTTAATAACTTGCAAAAGAAACCGTGTTCACATTGCTAGTCACTCTCCATTACCCCCGTCCCATGGCCCCTTACAAACACTAATCTTTCTATTTGTATGGATGTGCCTATTTTGAAAATTCTGTGTAAATGGAATCATGTGATATATAGCCTTTTGAGTCTGGAAACATGCTTAGCATAATATTTTCAGGGTTTATATTGTAGCATTTCTGTACTTGATGTTTAATGGCTGAATAATATTCCATTGAATGGATATACCACATTTTGTTCATTCATCGATGGACATTTGGGTTCATTCATTTTGGCTGTTAGGAATAGTGCTGTCAGTATTTGTTTTACAAGTTTTTGCATGAATATAATTTTCAATTCTCTTGGGTATGTGTCTAGGAGTGGATTTGCTGGGTCTTAAGGTAACTCTAAGAACTATCAAACTGTTTTCCATAGTGACTATACCATTCCACATTCCTCCCAGCAATGTGTGAGGGTTCTAATTTTGCCATATC